CAAGAATTGACTTGGAATCTCTCCCTGCTGTGTCCCCAAATCACCACTTTAAAAAACTTAGATAACAAGGTGTACAGCTGGATGAACACAGCAGGCCAAGCAGCATCAGAGGAGCAGGAAAGCTGACATTTCGGGTCAAGACCCTTCTTCAGAAATTAAAAAACTTTGAAGGGTCTAGGCCCGAAACGTCAGCCTTCCTGCTCTTCTGATGCTGCTTGGCCTGCTGTGTTCCTCCAGCTCTACACCTTGTTATCCCTTTATTGTCTGTTGGGATCAAGATTCATCCAACCATACCCGCACACCTACCCCAGCTTTTAAAATTACCTTCTGCAATCTTTCCTCCCGACTAGATTGCTTTTCTCTGACCACCTAAATTCTGATTTGACATGTCTTCAATCTTTCTCACAACATTCACATGCTCAACTATCAGCCTTGACCTTTCACCTGGGATTTTGAATATTAAAGAGTTTTAATAAGGTGTGGGAACAAGGGAATGAGAAGTTCATTGAATTCCCCGGTACATGATGTCAGTGGGAAGCTGGAAATTCTTATAGAGTCCTCTGTATAAGGATATCACAGAAGCTTGAAACAATTTTATTTCATGTTAGAAGTGGACTGTGTGGGAGGTTAGCTGGTGCAGAAGTAGTGTCCCTACATGTGGGCCAGAAGCTCTTGGTTGAGTCCTATACTATGACTTGTTTGTTGAAAATACATTTGTAAAGTGGCCAAACAGGTTGATTTATCAGCCTGTAAATCCTTCCCACATGCCTGATGGCAAATAGTAAAAGTAGGAGAGTTTCCGAGCTCAGTCATCGTGCAGAAAGCAAGGACTAGTTACTGCAAAGCTTTGCCCATCAGTGTAGCCAATCTCTGGAAATGTGGATGTATAAAAGCCAGATGGAAGTGGCCTGTGAACTTCTCATAGTGAATGTTAGATCCAATTCCACCAGCCTAGCGTACTAGCCATACAGAGAATTACATAGATTTTACAACAGGCCATTCGGTGTAACAAATTTGTAGGTTTGCCCAGTGTGAATCTTCTTCCACCACTCTGCTTCAAATCCTATCATCATATCTTGCCATTCCTTTGTTCTCTTTGATAAAATTTAGACTTTCCTTAAAAGCAACTCAGCTATTCATCTCAACTCCTTGTCACAATGAGTTCCACGTTCTTATCATTCATGACGAACATGTTTCTCCCAAATTGTCTACAGGAAGTTTTGGTGACAATCTCATATTTATGACCACCTGGATTTGGTTTTCAGGTTAATGGGACTGGGACTGGGACTGGTCATGCTAACAACAGAAAGCTGTTAAGACTGCCTCCTCCCACTCAGTACCTGCATTGCATCCATGAATGTGTATTATGCCCACAAGTGGAAAGCTAGATGTAGTTTGTAGTTTTGCTTGGTTTGACCATAGATTGGTCTGAGAAGGGAGTAATATTTGAGCAGAATCACTGACTAATTCTGAGTTTGAGCCTGGGACGTGCTTGATGAAGCTGAGTATTTGGTGACTTTTAGCCCATCTCAGTAGCCTTTAGTCTTTGTCTGCTAGTTTTTGATGCCTCTCATTCCAACAATGGCACAGCTTGAAACCAGAAAGCACAGCTGTCATAAATTCACTTTTTTAAACCTCTTCGCCTCATTATCTCTCTTTCAAACTTCAAAGCCTCTTCTCCATCCTCCTTTGGCTACATATTTGGATGGTTTGTGGTTGAACAGCCACTTGTGTGGGTAACTGTTATCACTGTTTCAATTGACCCCCACTTAATTCAAACAGTGGCCAAGGCCCATTCTGCTTTGTCCATGAGATAATGGACGAACTTGATGTAAACCCTGTGGGTTTTCCTGACCTTGATGTCTTCAACTAGCATGGAGTATTTGCTGACATCTCAGATTAGTATCCTCACATTGTATTTTTTTTCTTTCTTCATTCACGGGATGAAGGCGTCACTGGCTAGGCAGCATTTATTGCCCAGAGGACAGTTAAAAGTCAACCACATTGCTGTGGGTCTGGAGTCACATGTAGGCCAGACCAGGTAAGGATGGCAGTTTTCTTCCCTAAAGGGCATTAGTGAACCAGATGGGTTTTTCCAACAATTGACAATGGATTCATGGTTATCATTAGATTCTTAATTCCAGATATTTATTAAATTCAAATTCTACCATCTGTCATGGTGGGATTCAAACGCAGGTCTCCAGAACATTATCTGGGTCTCTAGATTAACAGCCCAGCGATAATACCGTTGTCTCCCAGCCCCTCCCTGTCAAAGAGCTATCTTGGGTCACATTTCCATTTTGTAGTTGCTAGCAATGCACTCTGTTCCTTTTTTGTGTGTGTTAGCGACATTATGTTCCCAGTTGCAATTAGCATTACAAACAAACATATTCACAACTATACTTCTCTCTCACCCTTCCACCACTTGCGTAGAGAGTAAAAGTGTATTGGTACGTCAATGCATAGATGCAAAGCCCCCATTACTTTCCCACACAGCAATCTCTACTCATAAACTAACTCACAGTATCAGCACTTTGAGAATTGTGCTTTGAAAATGTACTGACTCCTCCCTTCCCTTTCTCAATATCCCTGAATCTATTTCTGGGGAGAGGCTGGCCACCACTATCCATTACGAAGCCACCAACTCCTACAGTTACCTCAACTGTACTTCCTCACACCCTGCTTCCTGTTAGGATTCCATTACTGCCGCTTTCTCCATCACCATTGCATCAGTTCTGACGACACCACCTTCCACAGGAAGGCATCAGAAATGTCCAAATTTTTCCTCAAATGAGGATTCCCTGCTACCACTGTGACAAGGCCCTGAGCCATATCTGACACACATTTCCCATATGTCTGCCTTCATCCCTACTCTTCCCTCCCACAACAATAATAGGGTCCCCATGGTCCTAACTCTCCATCTACTAGCATTCGTATCCAAAGGATTATAAGCCACCGTTTTGCTACCTCCAGTGGGATGCCACCACCGGACACACATTCCCCTACCTCCCTGCATTCTGCAGAAACTATTCCCTCTGGGACACCCTAGTCCGCTCCAACACCTCCTCATGACACCTCCCCATGCAATCACAGATGGTGCAATGACTGCCTGATTACCTTCTCACTATCCAAGGCTACAGACACACCTTTCAGGTGAAACAGTGATTTATCTGCACTTCATTCAATCTAGTCTTCTGTATTCATTGCTCACAATGCAATCTCCTCTATGCAACCCCCCCTCATTGGGGGTTTGAAACACAGACTGGGTGACTGCTTTGCAGAATACCTACATTCTGTCCACAAAAAATGACCCTGAACCTCCAGTTGGCTGTCAGATCAATACACCATTGTGTTCACATGCCAACATTTCTGTCTCGGGCCTGCTGAGTGCTCCAGCAAGGCTTAAGGCTAACTAGAGGAGCAGCATCTCATTTTCTGCTTGGGGATCTTATGGCCTTCAGGGCCTAACATCAAGTTGAACAATTTCAGAACATGAATACCTCCTTCCATGTTTGTTACCCACCCCCGCACCCAAGGTCCTGTCATGAAAAGGATTGCTTTTAGCACAGCCAACCTATCACCACCTTCTCTTCTTCCCTGGCTTACTATCAAAAGTTTATTTGTCTGCTTTCCTATTTTCTCTCTCTGGGCCCAGTCTCCACCTCTCTGCTCATTCCTCCCTCACCTTGTCATCAGCATAAATACCATTTTTACCTAGCTGCTAGGAGTTTTCAAGAAAAGTCACTAGACATGAAATATTAACTCCATTTCTCTCTCCACAGACGCTGCCAGACCTGTTGAGTTTGGCAATTACTGTTTTTGTTTGCCACAGGTCCAACACCAGCTGCCATAGTTCCTGGAGGCTTGCCTACTTACCCATCCTGCCTTTGCTTTGGAGTGGTGCTCCTGACACTTATAGAACTTTTTCGTGTCTCTCTCATGAACAAAGGTGTCTGTAGTAACTAGAACTAGGGAACACATTTTAAAAGTCAGAATATCTCACTTGAAAGATGAAGATTGTATTTTATTTTCCTCTGAGCAGTGAAGGTGGGGTGCATTGAATATTGTTAAAGCAGTGGTAGATAGATAATTCACTGCCACTGATTTGGGGAGGTGATGGCCTAGTGATATTATTATTGGGCTATTAATCCAGAGACCCAGGTTCAAATGCTGCCACAGCAAATGGTAGAATATGAATTCAATGAAAATCTGGAATTAAGAGCCTAATGATTTCTATGAATTGATTGTTTGGGAAAACCCCATATAGTTCACTAATATCCTTTATTTAAGGAAACTGCCATGCCTTTTCTGGCCTACATATGACTCCAGACCCACAGATATGTGGTTGATTCTTAACTGCCTTCTTGGCAATAAATGCTGGTCTAGCCGGCGATGCCCTCATCTTATGAATGAATTAAAAATTTAAAAACCAAAGGGCGTCAAACGTTATTGGTTGGTGGAATGTGGAGTTGTGACCACAATCAGATCAGTCATAATTTTATTGAATGGCAGAGCACAGGCCGAATGACGACCTCTTGCTCCAAACTGGTATGATTCTTCCTGGACTATGGCTACATAACAAATGTGTTCTTGTCATGTCTAATCTGCACACACAATAGCTGCAAGTGCAGTCAATCAGTCTCAATAAACCTGCTGTGACCTGTTTTAACACATCTCTCGGGTCGGTGAGACCTGAACTGGGCCTTCTGACCTGAAGGTAAGGACACCACCACTGAGACATATTACTCCTGTTTGTTATACACGATTAGTCAATGTTGATTTTGGAAAGCCAATGTTTTAAAAAAGTTTTGCCAAAAAAATTCAAAATAATTGATACCATGTGGTGGCAGCTTCTCAACATAACTTCCCTTCCAAAGTCTGTCTAAAAATGTGCGTGAAACATTTTCAAAAATCGATGAACTGATGTTGGTGCAGCACGTACAGGGTTAAGCCGACGTACCGAGGTTGGTTTAAAATTCACACTTTACAGTCGAGAGGAAGGAAACTGGGGCAGTGAGCCCGAGATGCAGCCGACGTACGACACAGAAAGGAGAAATAGGGACAGCAAAGAATAAACTGAAAAGGGACCTTTTCTTTCGAGGGGGTTGGGATGGATACCGAATAAAATATTTCAATGTTTGAGGGACTAACCAATATAACTGATCAGGAGGAAGAATAATTCCCAGGAATTTGGGAGAAACTCGCAGGAGCTGCTACCTCATCAGTTTCAGCCTTTGGAGTTTAATATTGGTGTTCGAACAAGGTTTCGACTGTCAAACTGGATCATTTTCCCCAATAATATTTCCATTTCGCCAATTACTTGAGGAAAAGAGAAATTCAGTGTAACGAAGGAGTTTCCTATTCAACTCTCGGGAATCCATTTCCGGTAACTTCACACGGTTCACTTTTTTTAAAATGCTGCGAGCCAGTCTACCATAAGTTATGAGAATAGGCAGGGCTAAGTGACTCCATGTAGGTTTGTAGCGTTTTATTTTCCCTGATGCAGTCCTAGGCTTTTGTTCAAAATTCTGAAATGTCGAGTGATACAGTTCGTAACAACTTGGAGCCAAAATCCCTGCTCATGAAAATAAGTATTAATTATCGGTGTAGATATAAAGGCTGTCGTTGAACTTACTAGAAAGTCTCTGAAAACATACACCTGGTGCTGGAAATAATTAGAATTATTTGAAGTGACAAGTGCTTGCTGATAGGGATACTTATGTAAAAAGCTCTTTCATATTTTGTTTCAATTGAATTTTGATAAAGTAATTTATGAGAAAGGACGTCCATTATAGGCAGACTGAGGCTAGTAGAGCAATACAAAGCTACGTTGTAATGTTTCGACATGTCAACTAAAATGCAATCAGTGTATATGAAATTTGCACACTTGAATTGGAAGATTAAAACATGGAAATGTTGGCAATATTATTCAAAATGTTGCTTATGTCTGGAGAGGGTATTTTCTGCACTGTTGTCACAGCTGCTGCCTTTCAAATGTGAAATTTCACTCTTACCTGTTCAGGTGGATGTGAAATATCTCACAGCATTACTTAAAAGTAGAGTGTTCTCTTGGTGTCTGTACCAACATTTATCCATCAGCTAACATCACTGTAGACAGGTCAATTGGTCATTCCTCATTATTGCAGATGGAAGTTAATGGTGTAAAATGGCTGCTTTGCTAATGTATAGATGATTGCATTTCAGAAATATTCCAATATGTCTTAAGCACGTTTTCATGGCAATGTGAAAGATGTGAAAAGTATTGTGTATATTTAGAGATAACACAGTGTGGGGATGGAGGAAAACCGCAGGCCAGGCAGCATCAGAGGAGCAGGAAAGTTGATGTTTCCAGTCAGGACCCTTCTTCAGAAGAAGGGTCCCGATCCGAAATGTCAACTTTCCTGCTCTGATGCTGCCTGGCCTGCTGTTTTCCTCCAGCTCTACACTGTGTTATCTCTGCCTCCTAACATCTGCAGTTCTTACTATCTCTGAGTGAATCGTATAAATTTACATTTGTTGTAGTTTTGTTGAGCTGGAGGTATTGGCATATTGGGCTTGTCATCCAGAACCCAAGCTAATGTTCTGAGGAAAGGGGTTTGGATCCCACCATGGTAGATGGTGTAATCTAAATCAAATAGGAAAAATCTGGAATTAAAGTTAGCCTACTGGTAACCATATAACCACTGTTGATTGTCACAAAAACCCATCTGGTTCATTAATGCTCATTAGGGGAAGGAAATCTATTGTCCTTATCCAGTCTGGCTTGCATGTGGCACCAGACCTATAGCAAAGTGGTTGACTCTTAAGTGCATGAAGGGCAATAGATGGTGGTATAACCAGTGAAACCCACAATCTGTGAATGAATATTCAAAGAGGAAGTACAGCTGAGACTTGCCAATGGAAAGGCTGTGAGCTGACAGTGGAGACTCTCTTTTCCACATTGCTGCAAGCCAGCAGTGTAGGGTGAAAATGAGAAGTAAAGGGGTACACAAAAGCGGAAAGCAGGCTAACTCCTTTCACCCACATCCTATTGAACACACCTGTTGTTGAGTCAGAATTGACCATCACAGCACAAACCAACCTCCCCACAAAACTGAGGAAGGCTACTCTAAAACTGGCAATGTATGATGGGGAGTGGTGTACTTAAAATAGCTTTAATATCGTGAAAATTCTCATGTAGTTAATCACTTTTAATTATTCTCTACTCACTATCCATTGTCAGAGCTGAAACCACCAGATTTTTACTGCAATGTTACAAAAACAAACTCCTGTCTTGTTTAGATGATGTCAAAAATCACACAACACCAGGTTATAGTCCAACAGGTTTAATTGAAAACATTAGCTTTAGGAACTCTGCTCCTTCTTCAGGTGTGGGTACTATACCTGAGGAAGGAGCAGAGCTCAGAAAGCTTGTGTTTTCAAATAAACCTGTCGGAGTATAACCTGGTGTCGTGTGATTTTTGATCTTGTCCGCCCCAGTCCAATACCAGCACCTCCACATCATTGTTAAGAAGATGGTTTTTACCCTAATAGTCAACTCTCTGTTAAGAGTTGCATAATAGACCAGACTCTGCCACATTTGCTGCACATGAAGTTGGGTGGTCTGAAAAGTTGCAGTATTAGTCTGAACCGGTCCAGTCAAGACAAGACAAGAGCACGTCTGAGACAGTGAAGTTGGAAACTGCTCGGCCTTTCCCGGTCCCTAGCTTTTATGGTCCAGATCTTAATATAATCTAACATATTAAATAATCCTTGTCCTGTGTAAAACTTCTGATGTAATATATTTCACACATTTATTAAAATTAAATGTTTTTGGCTTTAACTAAAATGTACACAGAATATTATTCCTGTGTAAGACTATTGCTGGGCAGGCATCTTATTTGTAGATATATGGCAGCGAAGAATGTCTAACAACTGATTTCACCTTGTTGTTAAAGTACACCAGCAATACTTTGGGTAGTACTGCAGGACTGCTGCGCTGTTGGAAATGCCTTCTTTCAGAAGGAATGTTATGTCGATATCCTGGCAGTCGTCTTGTGGATGTAGAAGATCCCATAGAGAGCACTAAAAGTTGCTCTCTCAGCATTCTGGCCAAGACTCATCCCTCAAACAACATCAATCAGAATTGACTGGTTTTTATTTCATTGCTGTTTGTGGAATCATATGCACGATTTAGTTGCTACACTTCCCACAGAGTAACAGTGACTATACATCATAAACACTTTATTGGCTGTGAAACACTTTGATTCATCCAAAGGAATAAGATTTATTTTCCTTCCTTTCACGTTGACAGATCTTGAACATTGAACCACTTTGTTCTTTCATGTTCTTAAACTTCCCTAACCTTATCTGGCCTATATATCACTCCAGATCCACATCAGTGTGGTTGACTCTTAGCTGTCCTCTGGAATGGTCAAGTAGGGCACTCAGTTCCAAGGTATATAGGGATGGACAATAAATACTTGGCTAGCCTACGATGCCCACATCCCATTAACAAAGAAAAGAGATAGACGAGACCTTACTTGAATTTCTCATCCAATGGACGGTTCACTGACAACACATTGCATGGAAATGCAAGCTTTATTTATGCATAAATGCTGAAATTAGTTTTGAAACACAACTCATGATTCCAAATCAAGCAACTGACTGGACTAAGCAGCTGATTGTAATAACAATGATTGAGAATTTTTTTCTTTTTATTCATTTATGGGATGTGGGTGTAGCTGGCTGGCCAACATTTATTGCCCATCCCTAGTTGCCCTTAAGAAGGTGGTAGTAAGCTGCCTTCTTGAATCACTGCAGTCTATGTGCTGTATGAAGACCCACCATGCCAACAGGGAGGGAATTAAAGGATTTTAACCCAGTGACACTGGAGGAATGGTAACATATTTCCAAGTCAGGATGGTGAGTGGCTTGAAGTGGAATGTGCAGGTGGTGGTGTTCCCATGTATCTGCTACACTTGTCCTTCGAGACGAAAGAGGTCATGAGTTTCAAATCTGCTGTCTAAAGAGCCTTGGTGAATTTCTGAAGCACAGAAAATGTAGATAGTGTGTATTGTTCCTGTGCATCAGTGGTGGAGTGTGGTTGATATTTGTGGATGTGGTGCCAATGTCACTAAGATGGTCACTGTAACCAGATGTTGATACATTTCCATTCAGTTTGGTAATTGGATTGGTTTTAAGACTAATTTGGGCTAACTTTCATCTTGGTGCTGAGGGAAACTATTTCAAATCATTTGAAACTTTATTGAAGTGTTTCATTCATGAATATGCTTAGTGATTCGACTGAGTGCAATCAATGTTAATCTGAACGTTCCCCAACCGGAAATCATGGATGCACCGGGAGATCCACTCCCTGCTGAAGTCCAGGTCTGAGACTTTCAAGTTGGGCGACCCTGACCTATTCGGGAAATCCTGGTACGACCTTCGCAAGGCTATCAGGGATGCCAAGAGGCAATGCCAAACTTAGTTTGGAGATCCAGTCTAACCACATGGACGCCTGCTGTTTGTGGCAAGGCTTATGACATAACAGGCTACAAAGCAAAGTCGAATGGGATCACAGGCAACAGTACATTCCTACCCAATGAGCTCAATGCATTCTACACTCGCTGTGAACATGAGTGCAGTGAAATGATTTCACCTGTTTCATCAGCCTCGCATGCAGTTCTGTCACCGCCGCAGATGTTAGATCAGCCATCTTAAGAGTGAACCCACAGAAAATGACCACCCTGGATGTGGAGACTCCAGCCATACACACAGATCCTGTGCGGACCAGCTGGAGAGAGTATTTGCACAAATCTTCAACGTCCCCTCACCTGCTTTAAGAAAATCACTGTCATCCAAGTACCAAAGAAAAATCATGCAGTATGCCTCAATGACTACCACTTGGTGGCTCTGACCCGCATAATTATGAAGTACTTCAAGAGGTTGGTCATGGCTTACGTCAACTCCAGCCTTCCAGCTTTCCTTTATCCCTTGTAGTTCACCTACAGGTGCAACAGGTCGACAGCAGATGCCATCTCCCTGACCCTACTCTTATCCCTGGAACGTCTGGACAACAAGGAAACCAATTTCAGGCTCCTGTGTATTGACTACAGCTCCACCTTCAACACCATAATTCCAAACAAACTCACTTCCAACTCTGGGACCTAGGTCTCTGCTCCCCGCTCTGTAATTGGATTCTCAACTTCCTGACCAACAGACTGCAGTCAGTGATAGGAGACAACACCCCCTCTATGATAATTGTCTTTTTTTTTATTTGTTCATGGGATGAGGGCGTCGCTGGCCAGGCAGCATTTATTGCCCATCCCTAATTGCCCAGAGGACAGTTAAGAGTCAACCACATTGCTATGAGTCTGGAGTCACATGTAGGCCAGACCAGGTAAG